CCCATGTATGGCATCGGCTCTTTTGGTTCTTCCGGTGGTGCAATACCATACTGTTGCAGGAGCACCTGGCACCGCTGCTCTGTGGTGTAAGGAGAGCCCTGCAGGTAATCAATGCAAAGCCTGCAGAATAAGCCGCACGGGTCGGTTCAGACAAAGGCACAGGTTCTCCATTTGACCCTAACAGGCCAGAGCCTGATCTGAGCCTTGTCGATTTCCCTTAACTTTCATCTAGCTGTCCAGAGGCGGTTTTGTTGTCGAGGAGGGAGTTCCTGCCCATCCAGCTCACCAAGACATCAGTTGGGGTGATTTCGGTGGTGGCTTAAAGACCATTCTGGCTACCCCCAAGAAAAAGGATCTTCCTTGAGTTGCCCAGGGTCAAGAATCAAGAAGTTCACGAACCCCAGGCTCCACCCGGCTACGACCCTCCACCCGCTGCCGAACTGCTCTTCCTCAGGCTCCACCCGTCGCAGTGTCCGCACCAGGCATCGCTGTGGCATGTCCGGGTCGCTGGACACGAAGCCTCAGCCCGCACGAAGCCTCAGGGCCTCGAACCTGGTGAGGCAGCCGAAAGGGGTTCACCAGGTTGGTTTAATTAGAAAGCCCGGAAGGCTCGGCTGTTGGACCAGATAGTGAATAGTCCAGCTGAGCCTTTGATCATGGGCAGGATGTTCAGAAACATGGTTTGTCTTTAAATGCTTGAAGACTTGACCTCCTTCAGAATCATTGGCAAGGGCACGGGCCGCAAAAGAGTCATATGCGATCCTGCGATGTCACGATGTCTTTGTTCACCTGTCAGCTGGTGCCATGGTGCTTCCCACCAAGTTCTGTATACAGAAGTAATAGTCCCAAACGATATTAAACATATTAAGATATATATATTAAGCACATCCTCGGGCCTGTCCCAGGTCTCTTGAAAAGGTTCTTGAGTAAATTGTCTTTGCTACGCACGAGCAACAATTGGCTTCTCCATCATGGTTCATGGCGGACGTCAAGCTGTAGATTGCCATTCCCCTAGCCAAGTCCTGATCTTCATCCTCACCCACCTGGGACGGGCGCTCACAGACTCTCAACGCAAGACAAGCCCATCTGAATCACTTGGGGCAGAGCAAGAAAATGTTCTTCAGGGTGAGTATGGAAACTGCCGTGACAAACCCAGATCTGTTTTCCGTAAGCACTACCAACCACACACATCAAATACCGAACTTTTGCTGGGAAATGCGCTCTTGACAGGCTTCTCGAAGTTGCCGTCTGAAAATGTAATATGATGTACATAAAATGTACGATGCATTTGCTTCTTCAGTATATTTACCAGCTTTGGGATGATGCCGGCGCTCGCCTCTATATTGGACGGCAACCTCGTGTGAAGCACCAGCACCACCCCCGATCCTCTCTCTCCCACCATCCCACCCATGCCGCCGCCCCACGGCATTCCATGCCTGGCGAAAGGCATGCAGCGCCATGGCATTGACCCTCAAAAGGCCCATCAGACGGCCCAGCGGCTCCGGCCCCGCACGCAGCAGAGCCTCTGCCAAAGAGCCTCGGTGCCACAAACAGGCCAGGTTGGACCGGTACCGTCGATGAGGTGGTTGGTGGACAAGGGTGCATCTCCCAATGCGTCCTTTGTCGCCGAAGCGTGGGAGGTTAGCAGAACTGCCTTGGCAATTGTGTGCCGGACCAAGTGTCCTTTCTGCGGGTGTCGATTCTACCGGCAGAATCGGAGACAAAGAATCCGCACTGGCGATCTGTTCGGAGATCAAGACCCGGCATGTGGCGGGCCATGCCGTCCCAACGACAAACTCCAAATCAACACCATGGACGACCCACCGACCCAACTCTCCACAACGCACGAATGTAGTACATAACTAGAAGCTAGTAGGTGGAGGCCATCACTATTAGGTTGGAAGCCATTGCTACTAATAACAAGAAGCTATATACTAGGTGGAGGCCATGTGCTCATTTGGTCATCCCAGAGGCTCACCTGACCTTCCAGCACTGAGAGCAGCTTTTGGCCCATGTCACATGTCTGGTCGCGCACCGTCGACTGGAAGAAACGATCCAAGGACGCCTGGACACGGGGGCTTCAGAACCTCCCAATTGCCTTGCTCTCACCACCACGTGAGCTTGGGGCAGCAATGACATGTTCATATTTCATGCTGTCCCGGGTTTGAAGAGCACCTTCACCACTCGAAAACTTGCACCGCCACCGCAACCGCACCGCAACCACCTCGGTCTCCTCGGTCCCTGCCTCGTCCTCCGAGTCCAGGTCGGCGGAACTGGACTCGCCATGCGACGCGGAACTCTCGCTGTCCGAGTCCTGCATGCCAGGTCGCTGCGGCGACGGCGGCCGGGTGAGTCACGGCAAAAGCACCCGAACCAGGTGGTCGAACTGTGTTGGATCCTGAAGTCACGTTCCAAAGATGGTGTAGTACAACAACTCCCTCCCTTTGATGCGTGACGACAATGCTGAATTGGCCTCTAATCTAAGTCTTGCTCATCTGCTCAAAGACCACCTGTGGGATTGGGTGTATTATATAACTAGTAACTAGAACGACCAGAGTGGGGCGCTGCACCAACCCAAGCCATTTCATACACCTTTCTCTTCTTACAGGAGAAGTGGATCTCCAAAGTTCCAGTAGTTTTGACTTGAGGCGTTGCTTCCCACATCTCTCCCATCCCAACACAAAAAAGGTAGGAACACCAAGCCCGCCGAACACCCTGAGCAACGCCTCACCCGCCGATCTCCACCCATTTAAAATGATTGCTAATCAACTCAAACCAAGGCTCCTCATACTTGGGCCGTTTCATGGTCTCCCACCAGGCAGGAGAGGCATAGCCCGACCAAGGACTCTGCTCCCTCGCGCGGCCAGAACCGCGCAGCCGACCATGTTCGAGCGTGGACGTGGTCAGTGGGGGTCAGTTGCCATGAGGAGCTAAAGCAATCTTTGCTGGTAGAGATTCCACACATGCAGACTGCTCACGGGGAGAACTGATGAATTACTCTCTCGTAATTTTACAGCATGTCACCAGAATATATTTTTCAGTCCGCAGCTGTGCATCTAAGACGCCAAAGATCCTCCTCCAAGGTATCAGCCCTCAAAGAGGCCAGCGCCCTAGCCGCCAGGATGTAGTACTCATTGCAACATTCGCGCCTTGGCTGCCAGTGGCCCCGGCGAGAGATTGGAAATGCACTCAAACGCTCATGAAAGTGAGCAAATGGCCTAACAAAGACAGCCCCATGCGTTCCAGCAAGCTGGACCTATTCCTTGAGCTGATCATTTTCTGGTGGATGCTGATGATTACTACTGTTTGACCTTGATGGCAACTGTTGGAATCTGCATCGCAAACAAAAGTATATATATATATACAGATGTAGATATATATTATATATTGTGTAAACATGTATGGACCAAAAAAATCTACAGTAAAGTCTGAGTCGTCCCAAACATGGTGAGACATAACTCAGAGTCCCCGTCTCTTGAGCGTCCTAGCCACTGCGTCTCCACAAGAGTCCCTGAGGTGGGAACGCTTCTTGCTCGAAGTTGGCCCAGCATTCGTTGGCGCCGCACAGCACGGAATGATGCGCCCAGGCCTCTTCTCGGCAGGCCTTCGCACCAAGCAACAACCAGGTCAAACCAGGTCTCTCAACGAGAAATCAACCGTTGCGGGAACCAGCCGCGCCCAACAGACGGCAACGGTGTCGTGGGGGGGGAAAGCCAAATCGGTGTCAAATTTATCTCCAACATAGGGCTCCAGGCATGGAAGCAAAACACAACTGCCAAACACCCAAACTCAAAGTCCTGGGATTTGACACACGTCACCCAACATCCTCATCTGCAAAATCTTCTGTCGGTTCAACCTGGAGTACGTCAAACGACGGGGAGGGACTTTGCCCCGATCCCTGGTGGCATCTGGCCACCTTCGTGCAGTAAAAGGCCCCGCAACCGGCGGCACAGCAAACGGATGTGCCACCTGCCACGCAGGTAAATGCAAGTGACAATGGAGAAGCATAGGGTCCGGGTGGCCATGATGTCACGCCAAAAGATATTCTTACATTTTTTGGTCTGTGGTGGTAAGTTCGTCGGAAGATTCCTGTGGAACCACTTTATGAAGGCTCTTGAAGCAGGCCCATCGCCACGTTCACACACCTCTTTGGCAACAGTACAGCCTTGTGCTGCCTTCACATGATGTGCGCAAATCTGTGAGGTTCCCAAGATTTCCTCCTAGCAGCCAGAGCCAGCTACCCACAGACATTCATCAGACCGAGTAAACTGCGTCCCTGGAGCCTTCCAAAGTCTCGGGTAGAAATCGCATGCAGTGCTGGCAATGCCGCCGCCCATTCGGCTGGTCAAACATCAGCAGCGCCATCCCACAAACAGGGTCTTCTTCAAAAAGCTCTTCGCCCTCACTCGGAAGGAGGCAGGTGACAGCCAACGTTACAGGGGTTGTGTGCCAAAAGGGTGCTGAATGCTCCCCCAGAAGGACAGTGGATGAGGCTCCAAGAAGCGAACTCACCGAAACGGCCTAACATGGCCTAACAACTTCAGCACCACTCCTAGCAACCGACGCCCCTGCGGCCCCATCCAAAAACATCCCCCAAAACCGATCATGCAACTCAAATCGGCGAAACCCACATGCGATCTCGAAGAATGCGCGCGGCGCGCGTGAGATCTTTCTCCTCCCCGGACCTCCTCCAAGGCTTTGGTGGTGAAAAGCCCCAAGCCTTTGCCAACGCTCGGGCGGATCTCCAGGCCCTCGGGGCAGCTCCGCCGCCAGGAGGCCATGCAGCGCGGAAGCGGCAGCGGAAGGAGCGAAGGTGGGGAGCTTTCTCAGCGGAGGAGGTGGGGAGCTTCTTCTTGACTTCTTTGGAAAGACACTCATTGTTGTGGTTGTGGGTGTGGTTGTGGTTGTGGTGGTTGTTCCAGTCAATGGCTCGCCTTCGATACGTAGAGCTTAGAAATGTCCATGATACTATTGCAGGGGCTGCTGGTTCGCTCCTGTCAGGTCGTGGAATGCGACAGCAGCCGAGAGAAAAAACACAGGATCGAAAAGTCATGCTTGTGTAGCAAGAAGTCGCATCAACCTCAATGCTGCTTGTCGATTATCTTTGACCAACGCCTCTTTTCAAAGGTTCTCAGTGCATCAGATCAAACTCTAGCACTGTAGCTGTCAGGAGTCATGAGCAAGTTTAGTCAACCACCCAACTCGCCCACAAGTTCGCTGTAGCTCTCGCTCAGACCACGATCTCTGTGCTCTTGCCGTGGGCCCACGTAGCATCAGGAGAAGAGCCCACCACCTGATCCTCAATACCGCCTTCATTGGTGCCACGACGGATGCGGAAGAAGCCCTTCTCTCCCCAGTATGGATTCCAGGAGTTGGCGATCTTCCAGTACTTCACCCCATTGTCCACTCCCCAGCCCACCATGCGCACAGCATGGCCACCAGCCTCAGATCCTGAGACGTGGTGATAGATGCCGTGGGTGTACAGCTCGAAGTCAGAGTAGACGGTGAAGGCAGTCTCGACGGGACCACCCTGCATGATCATCTGTTGGATGGCCTTCTCACCTCAGGGGGTGTGGATTCAAAGGCCTTTCACGGAGCATACCGATTTGGGGGGGGGGCGTGATCTGATGATATTTCGTGTTGATCCATGATCTCAAGCACCTGCCTGAAGTTGTCTGGGTCTTCCCCTTGTAGCTGTACTTGTCCTGCTTGAAGTCGTTGTGAGGAGCCTTGGCTGTGGCATCACACTTGGTAGGGCCAGCGGGCGAGGACTCAGAGGGGCAGCCGGGCTTGCCCTCCGCAGGGTAGGGATCCTTTCCCTGTGGGCCATGATGGTGGCAATGTGGCAACGAGAAGTCGCTGCAAAGGCCTTTTCCAAAAGGACCAGTGCCTGGAAGGGAAGACGCTCATCCGAAAACGCTCTGTTCAAACCTTCAAGCCGATATGCAAACCTCTTGCACTAACCACAGGCACAACACCACAAGGTGCTACCATGATGCCCTGGTACTGCCCACCGCTCACAGCACCCGTGGATTTGATGTAGCTCCAGGGCCTGTCAATCATGCCACCATCGCAGCCATCAGGGTTGGCGTTGAAGCACACATCCTGCGTTCAGGGGAGGGGTTGAAGCGGGCAGGGGGCGCAACCCAAACAAACCACAAGTAGATGATGTCCTGGAATTTGCCAATCAAACTGGACCCTTCCACCGTGGCAGTGGGGTTTCCAGACCCACTGCTACGAGGTGTCCTGCGCACTGATGGGCACCATGGTCTTGCCCTTGGTGGCAATGCACATTCGGTCGGAGGCCGCCTCAGCACCTGGCGGCTGGTGGAGCGCTGGCGTGTTCATGCAGCTTGGGTGCCGTTTTTACTCCCATTGTGGCGGATGACCATGTGCAACAGCTACAATCAAGAGCGCAAGTTAAATGGCTAAATCGTCTACCGACACGACGGCATGGGCCACCAATGAGACGGCTGGAGTTCCCAAAGCTGCAATGCCCGGGCCACTTGCAAGGCGACCAGTGCAACGGCCCAACAAGCCAGGCCAAAGGCTCGTCCAAAAGACTGGCAACACCAACTAGTGAACTGCCCCCTAGTTACCCCTCACACCCCTTGTTTCTTTCCTCTCTCCCTCTCTCCCTCTCTCCTCTCTCCCTCTCTCCCTCTCTCCCTCCCTTCCTCTCTCCCTCTCTCCCTCTCCCCCTCTCCCCCTCTCTTCCTCTCTCCCTCTCTCTCTCTCCCTCTCTCTCTCCCTCACTCCCTCGCTCTTTGGCCTGCGAAAGCCCAGCAGCACCCACAGTTCGATTGGTCACCTGCAAGCAACAAGTGATTGCTTCAGCGTGGTTGCTTGAGGTGCATCCCCTGTGTCGGCCTTTGGGGCACCATGGTTTAATGGAACAAAAATGTTGTACTTCGAGCGAACCACCCTCAGCGGCGCTTTGAAACAGGGCGTGCCACATGCATTGACACACAATCCTGACACACGGTGCCTGACACGTGCGTTGACACAATGTTGACACGCGGCTTGGCATCAAATCATGTCTGGCACGAGTTCTGGCAGCGCACACGTTCTGACATTTGTCCTGCCGGTATGTGTTCCGTCATGCGTTCTACCATGTATTCCGACATTTGTTCTGCCATCAAGCCGGCCACTTTTTCCGACATATGCTCTGACATCGAGTGGTTCCGCATTCTAAGGGATAAGAATAAGAACACCGACATGGTAACTTGGCATATCTTCTGGCATCCTTTCCGGCACTCTAGCATTCTGTCTGGCATGTCTTCCGATCTGGCATCTTTTCTGAATCTTTTCAGCACCCTTTCTAGCATATCATCAGCCATTTTACTGGGGTATCTTCTGGCATCTTTTCCGGCACTTCATCTGCTGAATCTTATCCTTTCCAGCATTCTATCTGCCATATGTCTGCCCATTCTATTTGGCATGTGTTGTCGCATGTGGTGTGCAGGTCTATGCGTGTGCAGATTGAACTTCTTGCTGTGACACGAGGATGGCGTGGAAGCAGGTTGCTGAAGTCTAAAGACCCTCACATGGCAGCCGGAGGGGGAGGTCCGGCACAGGCTGAGCCTTAATGTTTGTTTTCGTTCGTCACGTTGCGTACAGTTCGGAGCCCCTAGTGGAACCGCAACCGCACATCCAGCTTTCAGTACAACCTAAAGTTGAAACCATAAACGCCACACGCACGGACGCCGTGTCACGGATGTCATTGATGATCTTTGAGCATTCGGGCCACTGCTCGGCCGAGTCGAAGTTGTCCGGAAGGGTGGCATCGTCCACGAAAAGGACACGCTCAATCTCACCACGCTGAATGGCGGATTGGATGGCCTGGAGTACCATAGAAAGAAAACGATACACGAACAAGTGCGGGTGCTTCAGTCCAGGGGATTAGCTGTGCCAGAAAATCATGAACATCCCACCTCAAAGGCCTCATTTCCACTTCCAGTCTCCTTCCACGCAACCCCGTCCCCTTCGCCTCCGAGACGTTTCCCTTGACGCCGTAGATGCGCGAGCTGCCCGGTTTCTCCGCCGCGAAGCGCTCAACGATGCCCGGGGTCCAGGTCAGGCCGGGAGCTTGCTGGAGCTCCGACAACAGCGCCGCCCGCTCGGGGTGTACCTCCAGGCCTTGCGGGCACCAACGGCCGGTGGCATCACTATAGGACACTACGCGCGGGCCGATCAATGGGGGGCTTTCCAAATTGTCTTACGGCAACCCATGACATACAGTACCTGTTTTCGGGGTTTTCCTGCATTCTTTCGTGCACCCTTGAATGCATTATATTGAAATTTCCTGGGCCCCTCGACTACTCAACTGCAAACACAACCAGCCAAAAACAAAGCTCAGGGCCTGATGCTGCCCACAGCCCAAGTCCAACGCACAAAGCACGAGCCATGGACACAAATCAGAAGGCAGTCGAATTGATGCTATGCGATTTCTTCGAGCCACAGCTTCACCGCCATGTTGCAGCATGCATTGTGAGCCTGGACTTGCACTGCATTTGGCTGAGCCCCATGCGGACTACTTATGCCAAAGCAGCTGGTATGCAAGGCAACACTGCACTGCACGTGTTCAACCAAATCCTCAAGATTAAAGTCTAACAGATTTTATGGGTCACCATGTCCTGCGAACTTGGATTTCCACAATAGTACGGGAGTGACAAGGGGGCAGTGGGAGGCCCATGCACATGGCAGTTTCCACGGCATCTTTGGGGCCCTGGCATGCCAGGCGGCCATGTGATTTCATGTGTTGCGAGGCCACCATGACACCCAGCCGCAGGTGGTAAACCAGTTCCTCAATCAAGACTTGGTGCCCTTGCAGCCCCGCCCGTTTGTGCACCTGCTACGTGATGTGCCAGCTAGCGGACTGCCAGCACTAAGCGCCTGTGAAGCATTAAAAGCGTCCGTACACATCCACGGTGACAATGTGTACCACACATCACTCCAGGGAAATGTTCGCAATTCTGTCCCACCAATCATGGGGACAATCCTGGTTGTGTTTTGAGGTGGGTCAAGGCGACAACCTGTTCGGCTGACGGGCCCTACAGCAACGATCCAGGGATGGAGAGAACAGACGAAATGCATCGACTTGCCGTTCTTCCAGTCGGCAAGGAAGGTTCAACTCCAACTTGAACGGCCAGATAATCATGGTGCAACTGCCTGGTTTGCGACGGTGAAGCGGTGATAAGTATAAGTGATAACGTTTCTGCGTTCCAAAAAATCACTGAAATTGAATGAATTTCCTTTCCGCACGGGACACACGCGAACAACCTCGCGCAGCACCAGGGCCACAGTATCTGCCATCAAACGGGTTTTTGTTGCGAAAGCTAGCTCGGCCGTCCACCAGAGCGCGGGCCCAATAGGGCAAACGGGCGCAGCCACATAAGTTCGTCATAGTTCGTCCATTCTTCAGGGGTGGTGGGGGCTTATGGCGTAGCGTTTGCAGGAGACATCCCTCACGCCAAATCCAAACCCTAGAGTTCAGTCATTGGAATGGCTGACCTCTGAGATCGGCCCAGTGGTTTATACACGGCCATCCTGGCTGGATGAACTGGCTGGGAACTTCCTTTCAACAAGAAATTGTGCACGGAGCAACTGAAAGTTGAACAGGACAGACCGGAAGTCACAAATACTCGCACCTGGTTTCTATTCACAATAAGTCTGAAAGCAGGAGTTTGTGTTGCAAACTGCCCCCATCACGCCAAATAAACACACATCTTGCGACGAAACAAGGATACGAACACAACACTGTACAAAGCACTTCCTTTCTCTTGACGAGTGACGAGGTGGGAGCGAGGCGAAAGCAAAAACAAAGCGGAATTTAGTTGTTTTACTATTTTAGTTCCTTGATGTCCTCTCGTGTTCTTTCAGCTGTTTGATATTTGTTTGTGTCTGTTTTGTTTCTGGTCAGTTTCTGCTCTGTTTCCTGTTTTTTGTTTTTGGGGAATGGGGGTGGTTTGAGCTTTTCTGATAGCCGCAGCAGCAGCAGGAGGAGGAGGAAGAGGAGTAGTAGTAGTACTAATAATAGTAATAGTAGTAGTAGTAGTAGTAGTAGTAGTAGTAGCCGGAGCCGCAGCCGCAGCCGCAGCCACAGCCGCAGCCGCAGCCGCAGCCGCAGCCGCAGCCGCCGTAGTAGCAGTAGTAGTAGTAGTAAAAGTAGTAGGAGTAGTAGTATTATTATGATTAGTAGCAGTAGCAGTAGCAGTAGCAGTAGCAGTAGCAGCAGCAGCAG